CTCACCCCTAGTGACATTTTTTGAAATGTTGTTTGAGGATTTTGGTAGTAAACATTGACTCATGGCAGTTCTTGGTTAGCTGCCAACATTTTTGGATCTCATATGACAATTACAGAACCTTTAGACATTCTATGGGTGGAAGCTTTGAGAATCTTCCTGCAGATAATAGCCATAAGTCAACCTTAAATTTTTAAAAGTTTATACAAGAAATGCTGCAAAACTTCCTCCTTCTAATAATAATATGAACACATCAGCTGATAAAATTGATAGACGTAGTCCCCAATCCACATGCTTGGAAGTTACCACAATTTCTTGCTTTTTTCTTTCAAACTTAAAATCAAAAGTTCTAGAAGTTTATCAAAGCGTTAGGACGTTTTGAAAACAATTCTTTCTCCAAAAGATGGTTTTCCAATCAACATGGTCTTAAGTGATTTAAAATCCAATGAAACAAGATCTTAAGTGCTCAAGGCTGAGCTACACATTTTCTTCTTAAGAGTCCAAGATGAGTTGTTTTGCTAAATTTTTGTTCCATCGGGTTATTTGGGATGTTGTTAAAGAAAATCATAATCGTTCTATGAGATGAAGGTAGGAGGGGGACTATTATAAATAGACGAATGAAGAGACATATCTGCCCCAAACTCTAGCGCGGTTTAACCAATCATAACCTTCATTCTGCACGGTAGAGGATTTTACTAAAAAAAACGACATCACTTACATTTCTGTTCCCAGAGAGGTGCTGTTTTTAGCTCCTTGCCTAGCCACCGTATTTCTACAGCAAAGTTCTATTGTGGAAGATGTAGATGAGTGCTTATGGTAAAGATGTAAATCCGCATTTCTTCTCAACCAATCTGTATTTGGGACCTATTCCTAAATCAATGTCCTATACTGTGAAATGGACTCGATTTTCGCAATCAGCATGTTAGACATTTACACTAACTAAATTTCCAGCAAATGATTTTAAGGATATAGGAAAATATGTCAAAATGCAATGTTTTAACTAACCCATTGCAATGTCAGCAAAAGCCATTCTTATGGGAAAAAATAATAAAATAATATGAGAATTTTGCTTTCAAACGGTACTCAATCCCGCACCAAGGCTTTTTCTAAAGTTTTCTTTGAGTTTGAGAAAAATATACCACAAACTATTTATATGTGTTGATTCTCTTCTTTTCACTCGATGAAAAGCCATAATGATGATTTCCACTTTATATTTGAAATACAGCTTCCCAGACTAGAGATTTTCATTTTCATCTAAAAAAATCACATACGTGCAGGCTGTCGACCAATTGGTGCGGAAATGTGGAGAGAAAGTGCACAATCGAGTTGGGAAGTTCCGATTTCTGAATCAACTTGTCAAGTTAATAACTCCAAAATATCTCGGAGCGCAGACATCTCCTGAGGTAAATAATCCTTTATGGTCAATGAAAACAAATACTTGGATAGCATTTTCATTTTTCAAGTCATCGTGTTAATTTCCTTCAAAAACATTTTTGTCTTAGCTGTTTTCCATCATCTTATTCAGGTCAAGGAGCTGGCAATAAAACTACTGTACTCTTGGCAAAGATCAATGCGACATGTGGAAAAGTTCAAAGAGGTTATTTATC